AAAAGGGTGGGACGACGGCGGCGAGCCGAGCTGGGACGACGAGGGCTACCTGCTGAGCCTGTCATACGCGGGGGGCAGAGACGGCATGGAGACGACGAAGAGGCTGGTTGGGATGCTGCCGGGGGTTTTGTCGGCGAGGGGGTGCGCCTACCTGTTGCTGTGCAGGCAGAACCGGCCCGAGGAGGTGGCGACGAGGATTGGCGAGCTGGAGGGGTCCTGGAGGGTTGAGGTTGTTGGGAGCAGTGGCAAGACGGCGGGGTGGGAGAAGCTGTGTGTTTTGAGGATATGGAGAGGTTGACTGCGGCTGGAGTGGCTGGGGCTCGGGGGGAGCGTGATGATGGGTTGCTAATGGGACTGAGGCGAGGTCCTTGATATATCATGATGGACGGGCGAGAGAGAGCGACATGTACACGCTTGCTGGTCTACTTTTTGTCCCACCCAAAAAAAAGGGCTGGCTGGTGGGCGCACGTCTGTCATAGCTAGAGCGTAGAGGCAAACATGACGCGGGGGGCAATGCAAAATAAAGGCATGTCTGAACTGTTTTATGTAGTAGTGACCAAACATCCCAAACGCCAATACCATCGAGTGTGCGACCATGATCGTGATGAAATGACTTCCCCCATGCCACTGCGCTATTCCACCCCCGTCACTCATTTTTTTTTTGCCCACCTAGCCATTTCTATACATCAGCGATCCGTTGGTCGTTGCTGCCTTCAAGCCGAATTTCTCGCCCCGCACGGATTTGGAAACAATCCCCCGCCACTCATCAGTACCGTCGGTGGATTCGCTGGCATCAGGAAACGCTTGCACAGTCGTCTTTGTCCGAATTTCAATCTCCCCCTGGTCCGGAAGCATCTAACCCCTTCCACGGCCGCGTCCGCGTCCTCGTCCTCTAGGGCCTCCTCTGCCTCCACGGCCGCCGCGTCCACCCCGCTCGGCCTCCTTGCGGGCCTTGTTCTTGGGCTTGGGTGCGTCGTCGATTAATAGGGTATCGAGGGGCAAGGAGTCGGGGAGAATGAAGTATCGGATTGTGGAGCCTCGAATGTTCATTGTGTCGAGGGAGATGGGATCTTGGCCTCTGGGCGTCATCTTGACGGTGCGCAGGGCGGTGTTCATCTGCGGTGAGACGGAAGAGATGGTGCCGTGGACGATGGTGCCTGAGAGGGGTGAGGAGGGAGGTCAGCTATGCGCTCTTTGCTCATTGTTCGACCTAGACAGAAAGCTTTCGTTTCGCGAGGCCAAGCATATTGGCGGTGAGGTGGGTGTATCGTACCATTTTTCAACTCAATCGTCACCGTCTCGTTGGCGCACTTCATCAAGAACCTAGGTCGCGAAACATTCAGCATCCACGTGCGGCCGATTGGGAGCAAAACAAACGACATAAATTCTCTCAGTTTCGATGCCTGATTCAAGTGCACTTACCGAACGAGCTTCATGTTGGGCGGTGATGAGGTGCGGGAGGCAATGTCAAATCAATGTTGTCGTCGTCGGTCTCCCGCTTGATGCAGTTGCCGCACGCCTCACACAATCTCTCTCTCAGCCTGGTCGAAGCTTTGGCTTGGCAAGGCGAAAAAAAGGTAGGCCGGAAAAACACAATCGCCAGGGCCACGTGACTTCGAGATTGGCTCGCCTCGTTTGTTGGCACGGATCGCGTAGTGAACGCCTCGGGTCACGGGTGGGTAAGTCCTTATCGATAAGGCCCGGGGTTAAGCCACCGGGGCGTTTGTCCCTCCAGTGTCGACGATGAGGACCAAACGATTTCCTGTATTCTTCTTTTTATATCGTGGCGCTCACGTTCATTTCCTGCATCCTTTGTCGCATGTAATATCGCCTCTCGGCCCTTGTACCGCGGTGAAAGGGCTGTATTTACAGCCGGACAAGCTTTCTTTCCGCATTCGACTGCTCTCTCCGGTACATGCCGCCCTGAGCTCCTCATCTGGCTTCACTCACCCCACCAAACCGTTGCGTACTTCACGGCCGTTTCGATTTGCACCCTAGGTCGGCAGAAGTTGAGGCAGGGTCCGGAAAGAGTATATGTCATCATGATATCTGGGCGAGGTGGTGCGGGAGCGCGGGCTGGCCGCATCCGCCCTCCTCGTCGCATTGTTCGTGTAAGTTACCATCTGGTTTGCCTCGTCACAACGCCAATGAACTGTCCAACATTATAATGTTTGTGTTTTCAAACCCGAAAATCTTTCCATTTTTAAAAGCTTCTCTTATCCCAGAGTGGTATTTGCAAAAGCTTCTCCTTCACCATTGTCAAGATGGCCTGAAGCAGTTGAGAGAGACTTCTTCTGCTGTTGAAGTCCCCGAAGAAGAAGCACGCATGCACCAGGCAGATGGACCACTTTGATGACTCTACAATAATGCTGAAAAAAGATATATCATGGCTAACAAAATACTCCTCACAGCCGAATGCCGCAGGCGAAGATGGAGATTTTGAAAACTGTTGGAACATGCTCAAAGAAGCTCTGCGAGATATTCACAACAAAAGCTGCGGCCGACTCTCATTCGAGGAGCTTTATCGGGCCGCCTACAAGATTGTCTTGAAAAAAAAGGGTGGGGTTCTCTATGAGCGAGTCAAGCAGTTTGAGGAGCAATGGTTCGCCGAACATGTCATCCCCAAGATTGAGGTATTGGTTACCAAAAGCTTGATCAATATTGGCATCGATAGGAACTTGGCGAGCTCGGTGAATGAACGTCGCCAGACGGGCGAAAAGTTTCTCAAGGGACTGCGGGATACCTGGGAGGATCACAACATGTCTATGAACATGACGGCGGATATTCTCATGTACCTGGACAGAGGGTACACGCAACAAGAGCCAAATCGAGTACCGATATTCGCTACTACTATAGCTCTTTTCCGAGACCACATCCTGCGATCCTGCCTCAACACCAATTCGACTAATTGTGTCATTGATATTCTTGTTTCTGTTATGCTGGATCAGATTGACATGGAAAGGGAAGGCGACGTCATTGACAGGACTCTAATACGTAGCTGCAGTCGGATGCTCAGTTGTCTCTACGAGGCCGAGGATGAGAATGAAAGTAACAAGCTCTATCTCACGGTGTTTGAGCCCCGATTCTTGAGCAACAGTGAATCATTCTATGCTGCCGAGTGCCAGCGCCTTCTTCGAGAATCCGACGCTAGTACGTGGCTGCGGCATACCCAGAGGCGTTTCCATGAGGAGGTGGACAGGTGTGGCACGACAATCGAGCTGGAGACATTAGCCAAGGTTTCGGCAGTCATCGAGGAACAACTGATTGTCAAGCATTTGTCAGAATTCCTCGCCCTCGAAGGCAGCGGGCTGAAGTGGATGATTGATAATGACAAGATCAGTGACCTGTCGATATTGTACAGATTAATCTCCAGGGTGGATGACAAAAAGACGGCTCTTCGAGAGATTTTACAAAAGCGTGTTGTCGAACTAGGGCTCGAGATCGAAACCGCCCTACGAAATACCGATTTTTCAACGGCCCAGGCTGATGGAGACGAGCCCGCAGAGGGGGAGAAGACCAAAGCGCTTAACCCTGCTGCGCAGCAAACTGCCGCTGCCATCAAGTGGGTTGACGATGTGCTGCGCCTCAAGGATAAGTTTGATAACCTGTTGGTGCAATGCTTCCAGGACGATCTTACTATCCAGACTTGCCTCACCAAAAGTTTCTCCGACTTTATCAATATGTTCGTCCGAAGTTCCGAGTACGTGTCACTCTTTATTGACGACAATCTGAAGCGAGGTATCAGAGGCAAGACTGAGGCTGAAGTGGACGTTGTCCTGGACAAGGCCATCGTCCTCATTCGATACCTTCTCGACAGGGACATGTTTCAGACATACTACCAGAGACATCTGGCTCGCAGACTACTTCATGGCAAGTCTGAAAGTCACGATGTGGAGAAGCAAATCATATCTCGCATGAAGCAGGAATTAGGACAGCAGTTTACCAGCAAATTTGAAGGCATGTTCCGGGATCTTGTGACGTCCTCGGAGCTTACAACAACATATCGGGACCACATCCGCAACGTCAGCGATGGCGAAAAGGTCGTCGACTTGAATGTCAGCGTGCTCACCACCAACTACTGGCCACAGGAAGTCATGGGTCGGCAGGCTTTCATCGGCGACAGCTCCCGCATCACCTGCAACTACCCTCACGAAGTTCAGAGGATACAGGCCAGCTTCGAGCAGTTCTACCTTAGCAGCAGGAACGGGAGGAAACTCACGTGGATCGGTACAACTGGCAGTGCTGATATCAAGTGCATATTTCCGGCAATCCCTGGAAAGTCTGGTGCGCTGGCTAGGGAGAGACGGTATGAAATCAATGTACCCACGTTTGCCATGGTTGTGTTGATGCTCTTCAACGACCTCCAAGATGGCGAGAGCCTCTCTTTTGAAGAGATCCAGGCCAAGACCAGTATACCAACACCAGACCTTATGAGGACATTGACAGCCATTGCAGTGGCGCCAAAGTCTCGTGTATTGGCCAAGGATCCCCTCACCAAATCCATCAAACCCGGCGACAAATTTGCCTTCAACTCTAGTTTCCAAAGCAAGACGGTACGCATCAAGGCACCAATAATCAACGCAGTGTCCAAGGTCGAGGACACGCAGGAAAGGAAGACTACCGAAGAGAAGAATAACCAGACGAGGGCCCATATTGTGGATGCTGCAATCGTGAGAATCATGAAGTATGTTCCGGACTCGCCCCCCGTCTTGTGTAGTATCCAGAGCGCTGCTGACCTTTTTTTTTTTCCAAGATCTCGAAAAGAACTCAGCCACTCGCAACTAGTTAGTGAGGTTCTCTCACAGCTTGTCGGCCGGTTCAAGCCCGAGGTGTCTCTCATCAAGAAGCGGATCGAAGATTTGATTGTGCGGGAATACCTGGAGCGACCTGACGAAGACGGTGCGCCGTCAATGTACCGCTACATGGCATGAGTGGTTCCATGGGTGGTTGTCTCTCACGAATTCAGGAACATTTGTAACGGCGTAGAAGGGATTTGGGGTTTCCATAGCGCATTTGGAGATTCTTGCATCGCGCGGGATGTTTTGGGTTGCATGGCAAGGCGATGACGGCTTTGAGAAGGATCACATCTCTGTTATTAGCGGCTAGTGCTGGGTTACAAAGTTAGATATCATGCTACTAGATACATACTATTGCTATTATCGTGCAGAAATATTTGTTTGCTGTGTCGCTGCCAGGCGTACAACTACGGGCACTTACCTTGTGCCCCTGGTATGTAGCATACCGCTCGCCGGCGTGCATGCAACTTGGTTACTCGCCGTGTGACCGTTGGCACTCGCAGTATTCTCACCTAGTCATGTGTACGCCAAGAATTCAAACCTAGAAACAAGAGAGTCCTTGAAATTCTGGCATTCCATGGCCCCAGTGCCAATGCATATCTCGGGCATGCCTCACATCTCCTCCCCACCGGCCTTCAGGAACCCGGAACCCCAGCCGAGGAACCACCAAGGTTGAGCTCCGACTCTCGGCCACCAAAAAAAAGAAAAGCGTCACAAAACTCACTTCCACGCCCTTGCCTCCCTAATCAACATCGTACATTTCTCCCATAAAACGAGCATCCACTCCTCATCGTCCCTATACTCGCCATGTTCGCCCTCAGAAGGACAATGGCCACCATGGCCGCGCAGTCGCCCCTCAAACAGGCCGGCAAAGTAGTCTGCATCGGCCGCAACTACGCGTACGAACCCTCCCACGCCCGACTCTCATCTAGTTCACTTACCCATCCGTGCATCCATAACCCCCTAGCCACAAACGTGCAGCTAATAACCCGTGCGCAGAGACCACATAGCCGAGCTGAAGAACATGAAGCCCAAACAGCCATTCTTCTTCCTCAAGCCGCCGTCGTCCATCGTCCTGCCCGGCGAGGGACCCTGCCTGCAACCAAGGGGCGTCAAGATGCACTTCGAGGTCGAGCTAGCCCTCGTAATAGGCAAGATGGTGCGGGATCTAAAGGCGGACGACGGACAGGGCGCTCTGGACGCCATCAAGGGTATGTATGGTGCTCTCACTCTCAACAGGGGCCAACGCAATTCCTCTTTTTTCTCCCGTCTGGCTTTCTGAGCTCTCTCCTCGTCGTGCACGAAAAGTGGACGTGGCTAAGTGAACGTGAATAGCATACGCTGTCGCCATCGACATGACGGCCCGCAACGTCCAGGACGAGGCCAAGAAGAAGGGACTGCCGTGGGACATTGCCAAGGGCTTCGACACGTTTCTCCCCATGAGCAACGTCATCCCCAAGACGGCCATCGGCGACCCGCAGGACGTGGAGCTGTTCTTGGAGGTGAATGGCGAGACGAGGCAGAAGGGCTCTACGGGGTTGATGATTTACCAGATTCCCCGGATTATGAGCGACATCTCCAAGGTCATGACGCTGCAGCCCGGCGATATCGTGCTGACGGGGACGCCGGCGGGCGTCGGGCCTGTGGTGCCGGGGGATGTCATGAGGGCCGGCGTGAGGGTCGGCGGGAGGGAGGTGGAGGAAGGCAGGATGGAGGTCAGGGTTGAGCAGTCGCCCTCTTCGTATGTGTTTGCTGAGACATGAGTTGAGACTTTGGGCCAGGGCTGCGTGGACGGTGTTGTATTATGTGTGTTGCGGTGAGGGGGGCTTGTACGTTGACGGAATTGGCAGGGAGACGGGATGACATAGATTTATTATCATCTTTTGTATTTTAGAGTAAAGACTGCCTTCATTCTTCCCAAGTTTGATAATCTACCGCCTACTCCGTATTCAACAACGCCAATTCCTCATGCTCATATTTCGTCACTCGTATTTGTACACCTACTCACTCATCATCATGACGACCCTCGTCCCGCTCTTCATACGGCAAGATTAGGATCCGGTATGGAGCCCGGTTTTGGAGCCCAGTCCGCCAACTGTCCACACGTACCACACCGTCTCTTTGTCTCATCATTCTTAAAGTCCTCAACTGCCTGCTTGATCTGCGTCCCCAGGTCGGTACAGTGAAAGGCAGCTTCATGGACAACAACGGCGCCGTCGCAAGATGCGCAGTACCATCGCATGCGGTCGATGGACTCCAAGGGACGGCGCTGCTCGAGAACAACGCCTACGGTGTTGGCAAAGCGCACCGGGTTGTGAGGGGTGTTGGGTGGCAGCAGAAACATATCACCCTCGCGGATAATGATGTCTCGGAAGGTGCCGTCGTCGACAACTTTGAGCGTCATTGCGCCGCGGTACTGGTAAAACCACTCTGGGGTCTGGTTGATGTGGTAATCAGTGCGGGCGTTGGGGCCGCCAACAATCTGTGAAGCGTGAGTATGCAAAGCAAGCAAGCAAGCACGATACGAAGAGGGAGGGAGAAAAAAAGCTAACTCACCATAACAGTGAAATCATCGTTGTAGACGCAGTAGTTGTTGATTGGTGGCTGGAGCATATGCGAGTTTTCCTCTAGCCTGGAAATTTAAAACCCGTTGTTAGCATCTTGTAACGCGCAACGGCTGGCTGTTGGGGTAACACGACGTCATGAGCCGATTGAGACATGAGTAAATTGACTCACCACTTGGGCAGGTTCACGGGAGGGCCCAGCATGTTGACGGCCTAGATGAATAATAGCTCGATGCAGTCGCGGGATTGCGATTAAAAAGAGCTACCAGAGGTTGTTGCTATTGTTGGGTTGCTCTGCTTTGAGAGAAAAGCTGCTCCGGTGGTTGAGACGTTGCGGAGTTTGTAAGCCAAAAAGGAGTCTGGAATCGTGTATCAAGGGTCGTTGATTGACTGGACTGGCCATATTGCTGATCTGGACAGCGCAAACCCCGACACATCCGACTTGACGGCACGCAGCCACAGAGTCGGGAAGGTTCATCGTGGAAACGAAACCGGGGGATATAAAGCAATGCGCTCCTATTGTTGGCCAATAATAGAAGTAAATGCAGAGCAGACTGAAAGAAGATTCCAAGCAATTCCCGTTGCAACATGTGCATAACTTGGGCCCGTTGACGCCATTAGCGCGTCGCACCTGCCTTTTGCTGGGACTGCCCCTCGCCAGCGGGCAGGCAGGAGCTACCCGCCGCACCGTGAGCACCGTGAGTGGGCCACCTTGTCCCGGGTGATCAATCTCCAACGCAGTACAGCCAACAAGCCATGCAGATAACGTGCTCAATATAGCTCCCTTTCTCTCCAACAAGTCGAATAAACTTGCGCCACGGTGCTCCTTTGCTCTCCAAACCATTCTCCGCTCTTCCTCCAGTCCTTTCAACTCCAGCTCCTTTTCATAGGTTTTGGGTCGGGAAACCCCACGAAGCTCAAGTCCTGTGTACATGTGCTCCTCCGAACAACCCTTTCAACTTTGAAACACGAGATTGCGACATCCTTTGCCCCTCGTCTTCTTTCGCCAACATCGCCAGCATCGCACTACCCGCCGTTAGACTCCAACATTCGCCATCATGAACCACGCAGGCATGGATCACGGCGATATGGGCCACGGCGACCACGGCGGCATGGAAGATATGTGCAGCATGAGCGTATGCAGCCACTCGTCCTCACCATGTGCTTGCCTAACTGTTCATAGATGCTCTTCACATGGGACACCACCAACCTGTGCATCGTCTTCCGCCAGTGGCACATTCGCTCAACGCCTGGCCTCATCTTCTCCCTAGTCGCTGTCGTCCTTCTCGCCATGGGCTATGAAGCGCTGCGTGCCCTGTCGCGGCGGTTCGAAGCAAGTGTCGACAGACGCATGTCCGCCCTGCCTCGTAAGTCTCACATCTTTGCTCTCTCCCCCCCTCTTTCCCCTCATTTCTCCCAATGCGGATACATATCCCGGAGCTCTTTCACTCTCATTGCGTCATATTTCCCCCATGCCATGGGATCTGTGCCAATGCTAAGACTTTTGTGATTTGTTGAGGCGATGAACAAGATGCTGAGATCACACCCTTACTCGCGCCAGGATCCAGCCATCCGAATATTGGCAAGCAAGGGCACCTCATCAAGGCTGTCTTCTACGGTGTCCAGACTTTCTACGCATTCATGCTCATGTAAGTTTGACGTCTCGCCCTATCATCTTGGCACGCAAATAAAATGCGCTGACGAGGACTTGTGCACAGGCTCATTTTCATGACATACAATGGCTGGGTAATGCTTGCTGTGTCGCTGGGTGCCTTTCTGGGCTATCTGTTCTTTGGTCACTGTACATCTGCCACCAAGGACAACGCATGCCACTAGGAGGCAACGTCAAGCCTCTACATCTTCTCTCTCTCCGTGTACGCCATTCGGATGAATAGTTCCAACGGCCCCAATATTCCTCATATACCAACAGTTCAGCGAATCAGTTAGTCGTATTTACGCACGCTAATAAACAAGATCTCTCTAAATATACGCTACGTTTATCCCGCCCGGCACGTCTCTTTATGTACGGGTCCCCCGCGCCCCATCTCATCTATACCTTGATGATCCTCGGTCACATCTTGGCCGGCTCGTTGGTGCCCTTGTTCGCCTCTCCCACCTCCTTGAAAACGCCCTCCTCTTCCGCCCTCAGAATAATGTCATGGTCGCCGAACGTATCATTGTGCTCCATCTCGGGATCCTCCCCGTACGCAATCCTAGCCGCGTCAACCAGCAGCCTCCCCGTCATGCCCCATACCTTGAACCTCCCCTCCTGTTCCTGCTGCACCTCCAGCGCCTCGCCCATGTTGCCGTGCGCGCTCGCCCTCCTCGGCTTCGCAACCCGCTGGTTGTTCACGGGCACGTAGAAGTTGTGTATCCGCCAGGGCAGGTCCTTCCACGACGTCCACGCGCCGTCGTACCACGTCCCGGGGGGCAGCTCCTGCCCCGGCCGGGGCGGCAGATCACGCGCCTTGAGGAAGTTGTAGAACGGGGCGCTGAAGACGGCGGCGACCTCGCGCGCATCCAGCCTCGGTATCAGGGACTCCTCGACCAGCGGGCCGGGCGAGCAGGGGTGCGTCCTGTCGGCGTGGAGAAAGGCCACGCACGGCGTGACGACGAGATGCGTCCTCGCCAGCGAGGGGGGGAGGTTGCACAGCGGCTCTATGCGGAACGGCCTGGGGAGACGGAGGTCATCCATCGGCAGGCCAATCTCCTCAAAGGCCTCCCGCCGGGCGATTTGATCTACCAACCCGTTGTCAACTTGTTGCCGCCCCTCCCGACACAAAAGAAGGGGGTGCCCGTGTCAACCGCCCCAGGACACAAGGGAAAATGAAACGCATTGTCCATGGGTGGGAAGGGGGAAGAAGGAAGGCAAAAACTTACACGGCGTCTCCTCCAGGCTGTCAGCCTTGCCGCCCGGGAGCGCCGCATGGCCCGAGAAGCTCCTCAGGCTCGCGGCCCGCATGGTGATGACGACGCGCAAATCGCCCCAGCGGTCCGCGTACAACAGGACCAGGACGGCCGCGCGCTTCCGGGCAGGCAGCGTGTCCCATAGCGGGAAGGGAGGCGGCTTGTACGCCCGGAGGCGGTTGAGAGCAGCCTGGCCGAGGGGGTGAGCGGGGGCCACGACACGGGGATACAGAAGCATACCAAGGAGAAGGAGTTCAAGCCGGCCATTGTGGACGCATCATAGTACAGTGACTCCTCAAACGCGCCGACCAGGTCTGCCAGCAGGTGTCGCTGGTCGTTGTTGAGACGAGTGGTGTCGAGGGCGGCAGCATCGGCGTCGTGGTGGCGGTTGGGAGCGAGCCCCGCAGCCGAGGCCCGTGCAAGCTGGTCCCGGAGATGGGCGACGTCACGGTCCGTCAGGGACGGTCCTGGCTCGTCTTGGTCGTCTCGGTCGGGCAGGTGATGGAAGGAGTCGGTGCTGAGCGGTGGTGTTGCTCCTGTGCAGGTTGGTGGTGGCGGGTGTG